TGTCACACGCAGCTCCCGTCCTTCTTACGGTTATAAAAGTGAGTGAAGAAAAGAATGAATTCCACGAGCAATCGAGAGTCCAGCGTCCGAGATAAATATATTATATTATAGTAGTGGTGACGCTAAACAAGGAGGACAATGAGAGGCCGAGAGGGACTTCAGTGGGAACGTCTAAACCACTGGGCCCATAACGAACTGTGTGCGTGAGCAGTAAAAGAAATCAGGGGGGAAAAGAGCTTCGCATAAAAGAAAAGTATTAGTAAGAGCTTCACGGTACTTGCAACACAATAAGGTCATATAAGTGCCGAAGATTAGAGGTGTTGCAAGAGAGTTACAAACACAAAAAAGAAGGAGGGGCCATAAGGACGATGGATGTTAGATAGGAAAGAAGAAGCAAACCACACCGGAGCACTTGCCAACCACCCACCATTAAAGAAAAGGAAAACCCGCGGCAAACAAGATTTTTATAAAAAGATGTGAGGAGGAATACAGAAGTAGAGAGACCTAAAAGGTCGGTGAAGGAGAGAAGGCAATGAACACCAGATATGTGAAGCCTTTACACTTAACTGATGCCAAGGACTAAGAAAACAGAGGAAAAAAACAGTATGTAAATTTAACAATTTGTTAATGAATTTTATTGCGAGTAACTCCAGGTAAACTGTGTGTCAGTGAGAAAGGGGGTGGGGGTGGGGAGAGAAAGTGAGTGTGATAGTGAGAGTATGTGTGTGAGTGTGTGTGAGTGTGAGTGTGAGTGTGAGTGTGTGTGTGTGTGTGTGTGTGTGTGTGTGTGTGTGTGTGTGTGTGTGTGAGAGAGAGAGAGAGAGAGAGAGAGAGAGAGAGAGGCGATAAAAAAAACAACGAAGAATGACAGTAAGAGGTAGAGTGAGAGAAAAGAGCAAAAGGCAGTAAATTACAGTAAATTCTATCTTGTATATAATATACACCAAAATAAAGCAAAGCGAAAATAAATGCAATGTTATCCACAATATCTACCTTAAAAAAAAACTATTTATGTTTTGTTTGTTTGTTTTAGAGATCTATATATAGACAGAATATATTAATATTCTAAACGTAAGCGACTTTTATCCGATTATGTGAGAAGAGACTGGAAAAAGTAACGCTGAATCTGGGAACCTTCAATAAGAAAATAGAGTTTATTAATAGTCGCTCCACTCCGGCAATTTCCGTAAACCGCTTCTTATACCAATAAGTATACAACTGGAAAAGAAAGTTATATTTGTTGACACTACAAGATGCAAAGTAATATTTTCATTTGTATCTCCGATGTCATAACCTAAAAAAGATAATTTAGGGGTTACTTGTTGAAAACCCAAACCTCATTGTTTGCTCGGGATCTTATAAGCGGAAGTGATTCGTAGTGATGGCGTCGTTAGAGATGGTGTAAACCAATCACTGTTGACTTTGTGAGTTCCCTTGAGATTCTTGTTTTCTGCTTATTCTTCAGGAGGTGTGTTTGTAAATTCGTCCGGGCAGCATTAAGTACTTATTTATCTTTTTAAAATCCCGTCAGTCATTTACTGCTCCGCACGGTGAAAGATGGCAGTACTGTATTCGTATTCATAATCTAGATTTCTAGATTCTAACTCCAACTCCTCCAACTTGAGCTTGACTTGCTGAGTGAGTCTCGAGTCCAAAAAAAAAAAAAAGAAGAAAAATACCCCCATGCCCCATGCAATAGATGGGTTCCCAATAGATCGAATGATTAGAGATCTAGATCTAGATCTATTTCTATATCTAGATCTAGATCTATATTATATATTGATATTATTGATTAGGTATTAGGGGGGAGTCGACTTCCTTAACGAGCGACCACTATGACTATGAGAGTAGAACAGAGGGGCAGGGGGTAGGGGTAGGGTTTGTGGTAGGGTTAAGGTTTAGGTTAAGGGTAGGGGTGGGGTTTAGGTTAGGGGTAGGCTTAGGGTTTGGTTTGGAAACGTTTCTAAAGGGTTAGGTCTCTTCTTTGTTGTAGTGCTTGTTGGGGTGGTCGCTCGTTATGGAAGTCCTTCCGATTAGGGTGATATGGTCAATAAATATATTATATAGCTATGCTCTATAGATCTAGTACTATTTATTAACTATTGATAGTTCAGACATGAAGACAGTGATAGTAGATCTAGCCATTATAATAATGATAATACAGTATTATGATGCAAGCGGATAGCTAAAGAAACAATTCGTATAATTAGAGGCGACGACTAAACGTCATTGGTCAATATTTATAGTAACAGCCATCTTGTTTGATGTCATTGAGGGATTCCCATTTTGTTGTCATTCATGGCGGTGCTGCAATTTGACCGCACGACTGCAACCAGCAGCCTGCCGATTTGGATTAGATATATATTTTCCTTGCAACTTGCAGGACTGTTCTGTTCGATTGTCTGTGATTGTGCAGCACCCTTCGTCCGCCCAGATTGATTCTGATGCTGTGTAAATTGAGAAGAAGAATAGAGAAGACTATAGGCCTACATGATACCAAAGCAAGTTCAAACAAAGTTCAATGATGCAGTGCAAATGATCGACCATTTCGTCGTTCGATCAGGATCGTTGCTTTTAAAGTTTTGGTCGCACAAGAAATTATAAAGCACTTAGAGACTGGGCTTACTGGGAAACTGAGCTGCAAATTGAGTAGATATAATTCAAGACTGCAAGGTTTGCAAATGGATACCATAAGGTACAAATGCAGAGGGCCTATACTTGGGGGAACCACTTTATAGGAAAGATTCTTGAGGGGGAGGGAGTAAGGGGAATGACAACAAAGTGGAAATCCCTCAATGACGTCAAACAAGATGTCTGTTACTAAAAATATCGGCCAATGGCGTTAAGTTGTCGTTCTCTAATTACCCGCTTGTGCTAGAGAATTAAACACCATTGGCCGATATTGATAGTAACAGTCATTTTATTTGACTTCATTGAGGGATTCCCACTTTGTCAGTCACGGCAACATAACCGCATGACGGCAGCCTGCCGCCTCCGATTATTTTCTTTGTAACTTGCAGAACTGTTTGGTTCAGTTGTCTGTGATTGTGCAGTACCCTTTCTTCCGCTAAGACTGAAAAAGATCTAAGATCTACATAAGAAAGCAAGTTCAAACAAAGTTCAACGATGCAGTGCAAATGATCTTCCATTTCGACCTTGATCGTTTCTTTTAAAGTTTTGTAAGAACAAAATTTTTTTATTAAGCACTTTCTAGGGGTTGGACTCAATAGAACGCTGAGCTGCAAATAATTGGAGACTACAAGGTTTGAAAATGGATAGGCTCCCCCCTGCTGAGAGGTGCAAAAACAGTATACTATGACTAGGGAGAACCATTAGAGAAGACTGAAAAAGGGAAGCTTGGAAACTGCTGCCTTTGCAAACCGCGCGCGACGCAAAATGATCACTAGACAAGGCCTAGATCTAAAGATTCACGATCAGATCACGCAATGGGCATCCCCCTTTCGAGGTCAAACAAGATGGCTATCTATTACTATAAATATTGGCTAATGGCTTTTAGTTGTCATTCTCTAGCTATCCGCTTGTGTATTATGATACGCACTAATTATAGATCTACTCATTACAAAAACGATAAGAATGGACGGGAGGACTTCTGTAACGAGTGACCACTATGGGACGGAGTAGAATAGAGGGGTAGGAGTAGTGACTAGGGTAAGGGTTTGTGTTAGGGTTTCGGTCTCTTCTTTATTGTGTTTGTTGGGATGGTTGCTCGAACGGATGATATTGTGTCGAAATTAGATTGAAGAAAAAAAATCAGACTATAAAAAATTAACGTTCCTCTTACTCTTAAGTCTGAATTCTATCATAATCTCCATTTCTTGGGATGGGAACTCGATTTCGAGATCTCTTCCTGCTAACAATGAAATGCATGTTTATTATTTGGTCCACCTCTGCTCTTTGTAGATCCTTAACTCGGGCATCTTAAAAACTACAAACTAGAATTCTGAAATCTTTCTTATTTTAGCATAGGCCTGTGTTATATTGCTGTCTGTTGATGTGTCGTTTAATCATCATCATTATCATCATCATCATCATCATCATCATCATCATCATCATCATCATCATCATCATCATCATCATCATGGTATACAGCAGATAGTAAAACAGTTAAGACTTGGTAGTATTTCCAAAATATTTAATGACAAGTTCAATGTTTCACCCTCAACCTGTTTTGAGTAAAAAGAAATAACAAAATATTATGGACCTGAAAATTTGTTCTCTATGTCTGATTTTTGTTTTGTGTGTTTTCGCTATGTGCCTGCAAGACACTGTAATCATTTGCTGCTCTCACATAGAATTTTTCCTTCTTTTTTCGTTGTGAATACTTTGACAGCTGTATGAAGACAAGTCACTTTTCAGATCAGTGTCACATTCTTCTTTATTTCTGCATGTTTTCACCAGTATATCTGTCACTTAGTGCCCACCATTGGCCTAACCATGGATACAAAACACCAGCAGTTGCTGATTCACTGTGCATGCCTTTTGGACACTTATGATGCTGGGACTCAAGGCCTTGAACAACATGTGGAAAATTACATCAGGGCCAATAAGGTGCATTGAATTCTCTGTTCATATGTCCAATAAAGCTGTGCAACTACTTTGTTTTTGTGATTATGAGAGAGAGAGAGAGAGAGAGAGAGACAGAGACAGAGACAGAGACAGAGACAGAGAGACAGACAGAGAGACAGAGAGAGAGAACACAGAATGATAGACAGACAAGCAGACGAACTTATACAAGAAAGTGCTACAGGAGCCTGTTTTGAGTTTGGAGGCACTACATGTCAATATATACTTCCTGAGAATGTACAGAAGTAGTAATTTTAAAATTGCAATATATCACCCAGTTGTGTGCACTGTTTATAGGTTCTCTTCCTCTAATCCCGTCATTTTTTGGCTTGTCAAAAAGATGCAAGGATTATCAGTGTAAAGTTAAAAACATATTTAAAGATGAAATAATTACTCTTGAACCCGTTCTGACGTCCACCTTTGTAATTACCTTCTATTTTCTCTGTTGTGCTTTTTTTGTTTTTTTTACCTTATAATCAAATGACTTTGTGTAAAAATTCCACATGTCTTAGACAACCATTTTTCTCTTCAACAATGGATGGCTGTCTCAGACAATTTCAACTGTATTAAATTTCTTCTGGCCTTTCTTTTTTCATTCCTCAGATTACAGATGAAGATGATGAAATGTTCATAACAGAAGTGTTTTCAGGCTGTGTGAGACATGGTGCAGTTATGAGAGTTGTTGTAGAGGGTTTCTATGCCAGGGATGGAAGAAACGTCCTCAGATCAACTGAAAATGTTTATATAGGTACAGAACTTGAAACATTTTATTAATATTTGCTGTTATTATTTGTTTTGATAATTTATAATTTTTATTGAAAATTCAGGGATATTGATACATTAAGAAATGACAGTTGTTAGTGCTGTTAGCTTCTGCAGATATATCCAAAGTTTTATCAGACATCTTATTCACCTGACAACTTACAAATAGAGTTGAATACTCATGAGAGAGAAAATTCCCGGGGCTAATTTGCAAATAATGATTAATTCATATATATATTCTAGTGACATTATGGGTAGCTGGTTCAGAGAGGAAAAGGAAATACCATAAGCTGGAAGTTGGGGTTTTTTTTGGGTCCATTTGACCGATAATTATAATTAGTTAAAGCAACTCTAATTTTTGCTCTTTCCCTCTCTCAATCAATTCAGTTATCTGCTACTTGGCATTATTTCGCCTGGATGAGCTAGGCATTGCTCACTTCAGAAAGTTTATTTCTGCCCTGGAAGTGAAGGCAGCTTACAAGGTGAGTGATTCCCCCTTTCATTGTTTTGTAGCCTTTGGCTTGTGTGACCCTTGAATTCAGATTTAACAGACGAAAAAATTGGACGGCAAAGTGATGTTTTTTGCTTATTAGCGTAGGCTAATGGTTACTGAGGATATCATACACAGAAATAACTGTTTGGTTGTTTTTTTAACAGCCCTCCCCCTCATCCTCCCGTGTCTGTTATTCTCTATTTACCCCATTCTCTAAGTCTCTTACACACATAAACATATAATATTATTAATGATAAATAGCATTTGTACAGTGCAAAATTCTTGCTCAGCTGCAAGCTATACGCTTTCCAATCTATGCTATTACCCCAGCAGACCTGACAACATTCTGTAACAATCTCAGTTTCCTGCAAAACATCCAGTGCAAGCTGCCATTTTACAGGCACTAAAATGCATACACTAACATACTGCCAAGATCTATTGCTGTCTGTGCATGGTATCCATTCATGCCTGGATGAGGTGAGGAAAATTCGTGTAAAGTGCCCATCCCAAGGACACAATGTCGGATCGAGCCCAGCCTCAACCTTTAACCTCCAACCTCAGAATTTTGACTCCGGTAGCCTAATCATCAGAAGATTCAAAGACATTTTTTTTTTTTCAGTCATGTAAACAACCAGGAAACTGAGATTTTCATCAGTTTACAAATTAATGTTGTTATGCCTGTTTATATAGAAGGGTTATTGCGATTTGTACAAATAAGTTTATAGACATTATGTATCTCAGTTTGTCCTTCTAAGAATGTCACTCTCAGGACTAGATTTCTAAGTTCAGTTCTGGAAATTGATAGATCTCAAATCTATTGTAAATTTTTGTTCTCATATTGGTCATATTATAATGAAAGAAGTTAAACTGTTGAGGATACGTGTTAATGGGTGAGTTTACCTCCAATATTGCTTTGTTTTAAATGTTAGTGTTGCAAGTTCTAAGTTTTCCTTCAACTTTAGCTCCGGGTGAATTTAGAAATAAACATCTCTTCTACCTACTCCCCCCCCCCCCC